CAAAAGATTAAAATTTTAAAAAAAACCTGATGCTAGATTAAATATTTAATTTAATCCCTTGAGTGTACTTTTATCAAAATTTACATTCAATTTTTCTTATTTAATGTGTATTTTTATTTAATCTCTCCATATTAAATTTTAATTTTATTAATATGCACATATTTAATTTGTTTTAATTAGAAATGAACGTAAATGAGAAAATATTAAAAAAAATTTGTGATACAAAAATATATAGATACATAAGTGTACAAAAATGATTGTGCCAAAATATATAAAATTGACTTTTTTGTACCAAAATATTTGTACCTACATGATTGTACCGAAATATATTATAATGAACCTAAATGTATGTACTGAAATGTATTATATTGAATTAATGTACCTAAAAGTCAATACCAAAATGTATGTACCAAAATAAAAAAATGTCAATACAAGTGTACCTAAATGTCAATACCGAAATGTATGTACCAAAATGTACAAACCTAAATGTCAATACCGAAAATGTATGTACCTAAATATCAATACCAAAATGTATGTACCTAAATGTATTTACCGATATAATAATTGAATTAATGTACCTAAAAGTCAATACTCAAATGATCAAAGTGTACGTAACGAAATGCATTATATTAATCGAAATGCATTATATTGAATCAATGTAACTACATGTTTGTACCGATAAATATACCAAAATATTCAAATGTATTAATGTACCTAAATGAAGAACATACAAAATTGTTATCGGAATATATATTATAAAAAATTTAGTTGCCTAAATGTAGACATTAAAATATATTATGGTGAATGAAATAAAAATTAAATGTAAATGTAATTAATACATTAAAATAAAAATAAAAAGATAAAAAAAAACATCAAAATACAACTAATAAATGATATGATTAAATGTGCTAGGGACTAAAATTGAATTTTAATCTTACATATGGTTATAATCTAAAACTCATCTTTTTTAGGGATTAAAATGAAGTTTTCTATTAAAAGTTTAAGTGGAACATGTTGGAATTTACATTTAATATTAATAATAATAATAATATTTAATTCAATGTGTGAATGAAGAGTTCTTAACCGTTTATTGAAGTTGGTGCCATCTTGTACAAAGTGGCACTACATTGTGTTGGACATCGTAGGTTTTACATAAATCCAAGTTAGAATAGACGTTAGATATGCATAAAGAGGAATTTTCCCTTTCTTATTTTCTCATTATATCTTTGTCAAATTATGAGTCGTGTCTTGAGAATACGAAATATATAATGTTCTCTAGAGTCTGAAAATTGCAGTGTTTTGACTTCGAATTATAGATTGTTAAATCTTGAGAGATAGATGCATGTCAAACTATAAGCACAAGAGTAGAGACGAAATTTTATTTTTAGGACATTGCATATATGCAAGCCTTAATCTTTAAGTTTGTCCGTCTATATTACTTTATTTCTAGTTGTTTATATTAATTTTGTACACAATTAATGTTGTAACTTCTTTATGATTATTATTGTTGATATTTTTTTATTATTCTCATTCCAACAGACTAATAAAGAAAGCCTTTGATTATTATATACTTAAGGAATACAAGGTGAGAATTATCACAACGGAGCCAGTTCAGGGTTTCTGAGTAGAGAGATAGAACAGGTACATATATAAAACAACTCTTAAACATATATTTTACTCAAACTGTTTAAGTGAACGGAACATCACTATTATATTGAACAAAAATCGATAAGTTGATTACTTAAGTGACATTGCGTTCACTTAGAACAATAATAATGTTAGATTAGAACATTTCCCAAATATAAAGATTCTATTAATAAGCTTGTGCTATAACTCATCTAAGTTGTAACCAAATAGTTATTGGTTTAATTAATAACTCGCCTTCATGCACGTGCATGAGCACGTGCAGAAGACATTTTTTGAATCACGGTATGCTACGTGCGACTTACACGTTTTAAATGTATTTATATGCGTGAATTGACAAAAGGAAAGTCAAATATTTGAAGTAAAAGAATAATCTTGAATCATGCTAGAAAAAAACCCCTCACAAACCAATAAAAGCAGCTGAATTCACATAATAAAATCGGTCTTTCAATTTTCATCTACATTCTATTGAATTTACATAAAAAATAGAGAAAATAATATTTAATAAACAACTGATTGAATACATTATTCCTAGCCCATTGTGAGACTAAGCTCACTCATCCCCCTTAGTGTATATAATATCTTTTATTAAAAAAAAAATCATTTGACAACAAATTTAATCACATTATTATGTGCATGCAAAATACTTTTTTTATAACCGACATTACATGTCTCTTAAGATGTTTTGAACGTGTTTAAAAATAGAGAAAATAATATTTAATGAACAACTGATTGAATAATATTATTGCCATATTGAATCACATTATTGCTAGCTTATTGTAAGGTACTGATTATTAAAAAAGAAAAAACTATACAAAAAATAATAATTAAAAAAAACATTGTGAAAATGACGAAAATACATCTGCCACATTTGATGCATTATTTTGGGTTGCTTTTGAAGTTTTTTGTTTGAGGGGCATTTTTGTCCAATTTTTTCGGTGAATCTTGTGACACCAAAAAACACTGTTCATTGGACCCTTGGCTTTATATATAAAGAAGATATCTCTTTTTTTTCTAGTGTTTAAAGAGTTTTCTAAGTGCAAATCACTACCTTATTGACTACCAAAGAAATCACATAACAATGTTGGTGCAAAGGATATGGGGAGCTGCGTAAAGTATAAAACAACATACACAGTTACACACCCCTTCTTAAAATCCCGCTTAGCGCCTTTTAGACCCCGCCTAGCACTGCCTTGCCTTAGCCTCGTCTAGGCGCTAAGCAACTGGATACTGCCCAAATTAATCCTCAGATACTTAAAAATTAAGAAACGTGTCTAAACTTGCCTAAGCATCCGTCTAATCCACATATGTGAGACTCAGCCCGCCATCCTACTAGTGCAATACGTTTTTGTAAAACTTTGATTAAACATTAACAAAAGAAAGAAGAAGAAAACAAAACTTAATTAATTTTTTCCAGCGGCGTATATCACGGTACAGTTGTCTTTTGTCACTTTGCTATCCCCTATCAGTGATAAACAATAATTGCATGTGCACGTCCACTGCTCAAGTAAAGCTTTTGTAGATAAATCACTGTTTACCAAAAATATTGCAAAAGTCTTCGGCGCAATAATCCATTGCATCTTGACATTGACCTTTTACAACAAGGCAATGTTTTCTGTTTAAAAGATGTTAGGGAATTCCTTTTTTTTTCGATAATATATTATAAATCAAAAGATATGATAGTTAATGGTTGAATTATTTCTTTAATTATTTAAAAAAAATACAACTATCAATCATCATATCACGTGATCTACAAAATATGATCTAATAAGATACTCTCTCTAACATCATCTTATTTGTATCTGTGTAAACAAGGCCATGTTAATTTGATGAGAAGTCAAAGTTAGGTTCGATGGAGACTTCTTTATTGATTTATATGTTATAATGTTATAGTTAGAACAAAAAATTATCAACAAATATTGTTCAAGAAATTGAAATTCTTAATTTCGTAACAAATTTTTGTCTCAGAATATGTACATGCTTGGAATTTCACCTTACAAAAGGCTTAGCAACTTTGTCAATTAAATTGTTTAAATAAGTGAATAGCAACAACGCTTGTATAATATATCACATATTATATAAAAAATGAATGTTTTGTGTACTTATCAACTCTTATATATGATAGAGTTCAATAACATGGCCTAAAACTTTAGTATTTCTAAACATTAAACTAAGCTTCATCATATCAAGTTTTCAAATATAAATAAGATGATCATGGGAATCACCCTTTTTTATTTCTTGAAGTATCATTTATCAATCGTGATCCTCTCTAATAAAATGAAAACTCGATAATGTCATATGATAATATGTAAGCATGAGTTTTTACTTAAATTTGTAATACAATACATGGAAGTTCATAATTAGAGCCGATCCGATTTTCTTTTTATATTTCTTAATTTTCTAATTACGCTTTTTATATTATTAATCAATAAACATGCCGTAAGTGGATATTTTGATTAAATCTCTCTTTCAAGATTATGTTAGATGATAGGTGGAGTTAACCTTAAGGGTAAGTAACTGCAAAATTTATTGGAATGTGATATTCACATACTCTCTTGATTTTCGACAATCAGATTCGAATGAATTGATGACGATCAAATCACATAAATTAACAATAACTGTGTGAGAAATAAATTGTGATATGTGGATAGTACACCCCCAATTCATTTCCACTTAATAAGGGCTTATTTAGAAGTGATTTAAAATGGCTGAAAATATTTTTCGTAAAAATGTTTTAGCACCAATTTTTAGTAAAAATACGAGTAAATCCTGGAAAAATACTTGAAGTACTTCATAAAAAAAGCAAATAACTGGTGCTCCATACAGGAACACTTTAAGTGTTTTTGGAACAAAAAACATTTTTCTAAAAGCATTTTTAATTATTTTTAAAGCAATTTCAAACAAATGATGTACCTTAAGATTTGTATTTTTTATTTTTTATTAAGTTATCCCCAGATTAGTTATATGTCGTGCATCTATCAAATCGAGAAATTTTTAGTTATGACGGAAATATAGATGGTACACTACATGTTTTTATGTAAGTGATGAAAAATTTAAAATTTTAATTTATTAAACTTTTAATACATATATCTCACAATTTATATAGAAACACATGATGTACCATATCATGTAACGGTCACGTTGAAAAATCTCTCTATCAAATCAACAGACGTCTGAAAACGATAAACACGTGCAACGTGTTAATACGCCCTGTGATCCCCATACAACCAAACCCAAAAAATCGTCACCTCTCTCCTTTTTTATAACGTCACCTCTCTCCTTTTTATGACGGCATCTCTCACCATTTTATATATCCGTTTGTGTCATCCTACTCACCAAAACCCCACGGTACTCCATTTTCATCTGCCATACAACAACAAAAATAACTCCCTCTCTCTCTCTCTCTCTCTCTCTCTCTCTCTCTCTCTAGAAGCTCACAGGAGTGAGAAGCAGCTGAGAAACTGCAACATGGCGGACCCGTCGTTGTCTTTGGCCATGTGGGCATGGATGCTCAGCTGGTTCACGCCCTCCTCGCTCTTCATCCTCCTCAACCTCATGATCGGCATCATAGTCCTCAGCTCCCGCTATGAGACCCACAAAAAACCTGAGCACCAACAACAACTGCAGCAGCAAGAAGAGCAACCCGGCCTGTTCAGCTCGCCTCAACTCGAACGAACCCCCTCACTCTTGGACCGGGTCCGGTCGATAAACTTCTCCCACTACAAATTCGAGCAACCGAATCCTGAAACCCATTACACGCCGCCACAACATGCAGATTTAGATAATTCGACCGGATCAAACCGGACTCCCTCACCCCTACTCGAACGAACTCCCTCGCTATTGGACCGGTTTCGGTCCATCAACTTTTCCCACTACCAATTTGAACAATCCACCAGCCCAGAAGTCCAATCCGGCGAATCAGCAGCACAACATCCTGGTTCGAGTCAGACAGACCGCAATAGTCCGGTCGGGTTAGCTAGGACACCCTCGCTCTTGGAGCGGCTCAAGTCGATGGATTTCCCATTCTACCGGCCCGCACATGCGGACCCAGAGAATAAAATTCATGAACCGGAAGCGTCCGAACATGAGGCCCACGATCCAAGTTCGAGTGAAGAAAACTTGGTTCATCGGAATAAGTCGAACTCGGGTAATGGCGCTCGGGTAAACCAGCATGAGAAGATAAAAAAGTCGGCCAGCGAGAACTCGCGGCTCCGAGGAGGGGTTGAAGGAAACAACAACGAAACGGACATTAGGCCAGCGACGCCGAGGGTGAAGAAAACGAGATCGTTTGGAGGACACGAAGCAGTTGACGCGAAAGCTAACGATTTCATAAACAAGTTTAAGCAGCAGCTGAGACAGCAAAGAGTTCAAGCAGCAGCTGAGACTGCAGAGGCTCGAATCAATTAAAAAAAGTAGCCAATAATAAGGTAGTGTTTTTCCTTTTAAAAAAAATAAAAAATAATTTATAGGTTTTTTTTGTTGTCTGTGAGACTCTGAGTTTGTGAATGTAATGGTATTTATTCAGTTTTGTGGATTATTTTGGGTCATGTGAATTAAGGATAATGCTTGTGTCCCATCGTCACTTGCTATTAATGAATTTTTATCGTTCAAATATTATAATTAGAACTGTTCGTAATCTTTATTATTATTTAAATATTATATTTACAAAAAAAATTATTCAATTTCGAGATCGTTTATTTTTCATACATATTAAACTAATTAACAGTTTAGTGACAAGTAACATCATATGATGAACCGTCTATTTGTTTTATGCATATGAATAACTAAATAATATTTAAATTGAATATTTTTTTCTCAGATATGATCTTTAGATGATGATAAAGATAATAAACGGTTTCAATTATGATGTCCGGACGATAAGGATGTTAATCGTAAGTAGAGGGACAAATAATTTCCATATTAATTCTCCTTATATTAATTCTGATGATCCATCAATGGCTTAAGTTGGTATAATGAGTATTAATTTTATGAATGTATACATATATACTAATATTTGACTACAAAATTTTTTTAGAAAATGAGAAGGAGAGAGGGAGAGAACGTGGGGTGTGAGGTTTTTTTTTTCTTTAATATTGGAGGTATATTACCATCACCTGTAGGTGAGGTTTCAATAAAAAAAAAAAAATTTGGACATGTGAAATTACATTATTGCCTATCATTTTTTTTGTGTGATAGAAGACTAAGTAATATTTTAACCATTTTTTTGTTGACAAATACGATTTCATTAATTAATAAAGATAACTGGACATATATTTAAGTTGGTAGCTGATAGCAGTAAGGATGGGTTAATTATATATAATCGATGATGAAGGAATAATTTCCAAGGAAGAAGTCGTCGCAAGAATCTCAGTAATCTGACATGCATGAACATATTTATTTGTTTGAAAAAAGAAAGATATATTTTATATGTTGTTTAATATTTATATTTCTTCTTGAAAAAATTAAAAAAAAAGCTTTCTTTTTTCGGTGTTCAAAGTGCCACAAATTCGTCAACCAAATTAATTAATTATTATTTCAAGAATGAATAATTTATTAATTATTACTCTTTACTAAAATAAATTATCGTTTTAGAAAGGTTAATTTTTTTAGTGAAATGATAGCGTTAGTAAGTTAAAAATTAGATTAGTCACCGGCGGAATTCGAACTCACGCCGTCATGTAAGGGCACAACAACTTTCCACCACTTGTTGTTTTAGAGAGGTTATTATTGTATCAATGAATGAATAATTTATTAATTTATTGTTAAATAAATATTATTACATTTAACAAGAATTTTTGTTTGTTCATTTATTACTATTATTATTTTTTAGCAAAAATACATATATCTTATAAAGCAACAATTATATGTATATGGCTTCAAACTTCTAAGAACTAGAAGATCAAATATTTTCAAAACATAATGCCCTTGAAGACAAATATACTTTAGAAGCATATTTTGAGAAATAGTTGAATTGAGAAAATAGAAGTTGTTTGAAAAAATAAAAGAAAATAGAAGTTGTTAAAAAAATAATTCTAAATATGTATTATGAATATTTATGTGTTAAGCTCTTTTATGTACCATGAATATCTATGTGTTATTTCTTTTACGTATTCACCATTATGAATTTATATATTCCCTCGGTCTTGAAAGATTTTAAGAAAATTTAATATCTTACGCATTTAATTAGCGAGGTTATTGAGTACACTGGCCCGGTTTTGAACTAAAATATTTATTATTTTTTCAAGATTATTACACTACTACAAAAGGACCCTATAGTGTCAGTTGTTGCGTCGGTTTAATATCATATAGTGGCGCACAAGAGAGTTGCGACACCCACTGAATATGACGTCGGATTTAGAAAGTCTGCGTCGCTTCTATATGCGACACGCATACTTAATGTCGCTTATAACCGACACACGTTTTAATAATTTTAAATACTGGCGTCGCTTTGAATAAAACAGTGTCGCTTTTAAGCGACATTAAGTATGCGTGTCGCATATAGAAGCGACACTAATTGATTTTTTTATATATTTTAAATCCTACGTCGGTTCTTAGCGACATATATTTTATTTTTTTAAATATTTTGAAACCCAGTGTCGGTTGTAAGCGACAGATTGATCGTCTTTATATTCACTCACCCGTGTTCATCTTTTCCTCTTGCATTTATCTCATTCTCACGGTTCACAAACCTTCTCTCTCTCACCTTCCGAGTTCTTCCAAGTTCATTCTTCACAAAGGTAAATTTTTCTTGCTTGTAGTATTTTTATTTTCTCCTCTTATGTTTAATATTTTGATACAATTTATTGTTGTAGGGAATTTATTTGAGCTGGTTGAGTATATAAAGAATTGATCGACGACGGAATTCTTCTATAATTTAGGTTTCTATCACTAAATTCTTTAATTTTTAAATTGTATAATACACAAGTTTATTTATTTAAAAATTGTAATTTAAGTAGTTAGATAAATTTCTATTATTTTTGTTAAATTACTTCATATTTAGGTGAAATAATTAATTTTGTCACTTGAATTGTTATGAGAAAATAGAATGAATATTATCTATAAGCATTTATGTTAAATTAACAACATTAAATATAACTTAAACTTATAATATTGAGTAATTTAAGAATATATTATGTTAAATTAATTTTTTTTTCACTCTAATTGTTATTTTAATTTGTTGTTATTTTGATAATTTTTTGTTGTTATTTACTAGAATGGATTAGATGAGAATAATTTGAATTGTTATGAGAAAATGGAATGAATATTATTTATATGCATTTATGTTAAATTAACAATATTAAATATAACATAAACTTATAATATTGAGTAATGTAAGAATATATTATGTTAAATTAATTTTGTTCGCACTTTAATTGTTACTTTAATTTGTTGTTATTTTGATAATTTTTTGTTGTTATTTACTAGAATGGATTAGATGAGAATAATTTGAATTGTTATGAGAAAATGGAATGAATAATAATTATAAGCATTTATGTTAAATTAACAATCTTAAATATAACATAAAATTATAATATTTAGTTATATAAGAATATATTATATTAAATTAATTTTTTTTTGCAATTTGAATTGTTATGAGAAAATGGAATGAATAATATTTTTATAAGCATTTATGTTAAATTAACAATATTAAATATAACATAAACTTATAATATTTAGTAATGTAAAAATATATTATGTTAAATTAATTTTTTTTTTTTTTGCAATTTGAATGGTTATGAGAAAATGAAATGAATAATATTTATAAGCATGTATGTTAAATTAACAATATTAATATAACATAAACTTATCATTTTTAGTAATATAAGAATATATTATGTTAAATTAATTTTTTTTTACAATTTGAATTGTTATGAGAAAATGGAATGAATAATTTAAATAAGCATTTATGTTAAATTAACAATATTAAATATAACTTTTGCACTATAATTGTTATTTTAATTTATTGTTATTTTGTTAACTTTTGGTTGTTATTTACTAGAATGGATTAGATGAGCATAATTTTGATAACTTTTTGTTGTTATTTTAATTTGTTTTTACTACAATAGGTGTTGAAAATTAAAAGATTGCAATCGTGATCGTGATAGAGTTCGAGGGTTGAAAGATAGAAATTGAAAATTCTAATAGTTATGCCTACATGATAGGGATTGCAAGATTGTAGGCATCTTAGTGTCAGCGTAATATTTTACCCTCGTAAACTGGTAAAAACATGGACAAGAGTTGGTTGACGATACCTCGAAATTTTGAAGCGTATACAGCTGGAATTAATTTGTTTTTGGATCAAGCAGTTGCAAATGGTGTTGGTCCTGATAAGTTTAGATGTCCTTGCAAAAGATGTTGTAATCGATATACTTTTGTTAGGAACACTATTATTGAACATCTCATATTGTATGATATGGATAAAGATTATAAAAATGCTTGCTGGCGACGTCATGGCGAGCAAAACATTGGAGAGCAAAATGTGGCAATTGGAGAAGAAGAAACAGGAGATGAGGTGATTGGTATGCATGACTTTCTTAATGATGTATTTGTCCAACCATTAACAGAAGAAGGTGTTGGGCCGTCTACTGAACCGTCTATTGGGGAAGGGCGTCCAGAAGAGGTGGAGACTTTTTTTAGGTTGCTTGAAGAAGCAGATCAAGATTTGTGGCCAGGGTGTAAGGAGTTTAAGAAATTAGAAGCAGTTGTAAGGCTGTATCAGATCAAGTGTTTAGCGGGAATGCCAGACGACATCTTCACAACTTTACTGGAGTTAATTAAAAGAATGTTGCCTGAAGGGGATTGTTTGCCTGAATCATGTTATAAGGCAAAAAAACTTATAAATGACTTGGGTCTTACGTATGTGAAAATTGATGCATGTCCCAATGATTGCATGATCTATTGGAAAGATACTTCGGATTTGACCGTGTGCTCGGTTTGTGGTGAATCAAGATATAAAGTTACCAACGCAGCGGATAGGTCGAGAAAAAAGATCGCAGCTAAGGTTATGTGGTATTTTCCTTTAAAAACCAAGATTGCAACGATTTTTTATGTCGAAGCATACGGCTGAACATATGAGGTGGCATGCAATTGAATGTCCTAAAGATGAGTTTATGAGACATCCTTCAGATTCTCCAGCATGGAAGCATTTGGATAATTTATATCCGGATTTTGCGTCAGAAATTCGAAATGTTCGATTAGGGTTGGCCAGTGATGGATTTAATCCTTTTGGAAAAATGAGGAATGATCATAGCACATGGCCGGTGGTGCTTTCTGTTTACAATTTGCCGCCTTGGATGTGCATGAAGCAACCAAATTTGTTGTTGTCTATTTTAATACCAGGACCGCGCAGTCCTGGTAAAGAGATTGATGTATACATGCGTCCACTGATTGACGAGTTGAATGAGTTGTGGGAGGTGGGCACTCCAACTTATGATGCGTATTCCAACCAAAGTTTTATGATGAAGGCTGCTGTCTTATGGACTATAAGTGATTTTCCGGCTTATGGAATGTTGTCAGGATGGAGTACACATGGCTATAAAGCATGTCCACATTGCATGCATGATAAAGAATCCATTTTACTTGCCGGCGAGTCGTAAAATTTGTTATATGGGGCATCGACGGTTTCTTGAAGATAATCATAGGTTTCGAAGGCAAACCACAGCTTTTAATGGTCGTCGTGAGCATCGTAGTGCACCAAGGCAGTGGACTGGTTTACAATGTCTTGAAGAACTTTGTACATTGAGATTTACTTTTGGAAAACCAAAGAAAAATGCTTCAGTCGGGCAACGCAGAAAAAGAACTTCGAGCAGTACAAGTGGTAACAGTCAGTGGAAGAAGAAATCTATTTTTTATGAACTACCTTATTGGAGGCATCTGTTGATTAGACACAATCTTGATGTTATGCATATCGAGAAGAATATATGTGACAGTCTGGTGGGAACATTGCTAGGTATAGAAAAGTCTAAAGATGGATTGGTTGCACGTGCAGATCTTGAAGTCTTGAACATAAGACGCAGTCAACACCCACGTAGAGAAGGAAATAGAACATTTCTACCTCCAGCTTTGTTCACGTTGAAAAGAGAAGAAAAAACTGCGTTTTGCAATGTGTTGTCTACTATTCGGGTCCCCGATGGATATTCATCAAATTTATCGCGATGTGTGCACGTGAATGAACGAAAAATACATGGGTTGAAAAGTCATGATTGCCATGTTTTAATGCAGCAGTTACTCCCGCTTGCAATACGCTCGGTTTTGCCTAAAGCTGTTACTATGATATTATTAGAGTTGAGTGCAATTTTCAGACAATTGTGTAGTAAGAAGGAGTCTGAGGAAGGATTCAAGGAACTGAGTTCAAGAATTGCCTTGACATTATGTCAACTTGAAAAAATATTTCCTCCTGCATTTTTTGATATAATGGTGCACCTTCCAGTTCACTTGGCAGATGAAGCAGCTCTTGCAGGGCCTGTTCCCTATAGATTGATGTATCCAATTGAACGGTAATTAATAATTTTTTATAAATTTTTTACAATTGTAGTCATAACTTTAATTTATAATTATTACAATTGTAGTCATAACTTTAATTTATAATTATAGGTATTTGCAAACGTTGAAGCGCAATGTTTGTAATAAAGGTCGTCCTGAAGGTTCTATGGCTGAAGCAAATTTGATGGATGAGTGCTTGTCCTTCTGTTCCATGTATCTTAGAGGTGTCGAGTCTCGTCGTAACCGTAGAGGCCGAAATGAAGATGGTATTGGACGTGGAGTGTCTGGTGGGTTATCAATTTTTGACTCCAAATGATGTTATATGGGTTCAGGAGAACATGTAGAGCTCGATCTAAATACTCTTGATCAATGCCATAGATATATTCTAAATAATTGTGATGAAGTGAACCTATTTAGAAGGTAATAACGTTTAATCACACGTTTTAATGTTTTATTGATTTTCTTAACTTTGAAAAATTAATTATCTAAATTTCGACATAATTGTGTAGCCAACATGAGGAATTCTTGAAAACTAAACATCGTCGAGAAAGGTTAACTATGCGCCAAATTAAGGAGCTAAGCAAGAAAGAATTTCCAGAATGGTTCAAGCAACATGTGAGTTGATATAACAATCACATTATTTATTTATTGTTTTGCATTTTAATTATAACATGTTATAGTTATTCTGTCAATTTTTATCTTCATACTTATTACAGATGAATTCAAGCTATCATGCTAATGACACGTTGATATCTGAAGACTTGCATTGGCTAGCTAATTATCCTAGTAGGGTTGTGAGTAGATATAAAAGTCACATTGTTCATGGATTTAGATTTCGTATAAAATCTGTGGATGATAAGCATAAGAATCAAAATTGTGGTGTCTTTGTACCTGCAAATGTTCCTGGAGCAATTGGGCAAGTGAATTGTTATGGCAGAGTTGTTGATATGTTCGAGGTTAAATATTGTGGTCCTACTGAGGCGGAAGATAGGGGTCGAGCTGTGATGTTATTTAAGTGCGAATGGGTTAATAGTGAAAGTCCACGAGGAATGAAGACCGATCAATATGGATTTACTATGGTGAATTTCAATCAATTGGGATTTAAAGAGGATCCTTTCATACTAGCATCACAAGCATTACAAGCATTTTATGTGGATGACACAATTGAAAAAGATTGGCACGTAGTTGTTCGAACTCAGCCGAGGGATTTGTTTGACGTACTAGAGGATAGTGATGCTATTGATGATTATGCCATATCGAATTTGGATGATCGAATTCTTGATAATGAAAATTTTCATACAAGGGTTGGCGTGGAAGAGACTCCTTTTCTTGAATTATTAGCGCTGCCTACCGAGTTCGTTAATCATGCCAATGTCGACGATGAGCTAACAGATGATGAAGGAGAATAAATATGTTAATTATTTTATGTATTAATTATCCTATCTTTCATTTCGTATGTTATGTTATCTTATTGTCAAAATTATATTTCTGTTTTTTTTATTAAGTATTAAATATAAGTTAAACCTTTTATTTTTAATATTGGGTTATAATTTTTTTTTTTTAAGCTTGTTTCCTGTCGCTTTTAACCGACGTCGGTTTAATTAAAATATTTTGGACGGCATTTTTCGCGGTTTTTTAATTCAGTTGGCGTCGGTTTTAACCGACGCAATGAAAGCTTATTTCGACGCAATGTCATTTTAGCGTCGGTTTGATCCGACGCAATATAAGCCTATTTCGACGCAATGTCAGTCTATTTCGACGCAAGTTAAAAACCTGTTGTGAATTATATGTATTAATGCGAAGAAAGGATGATTATTTTTTCTTATTTAAAGTTCACGAAATTTTTTGAGCTGTTAATTACACTATTTTTCTTTTTATTTAACAATTTTATACTTCTAAAAACTTTAACAATTTTATACACTAGTGGATATCCCAAAATCTTGTGTTATACTTAATGAAAGTATGAATAAACTATTTAAGTGTTAGTGAATGTATCGTTTTGATGGAATACGAACTCTACGAAACTAATTTCAACGATCGAACCGTCAAACATGTTTGTGTATACTTCGAGATCGCATACGCCAAAAATTAAAAAAAAAAAAAACTTTCTGAGACACAGTAATGGGAAAAACTTATTCGACGGTTATTAACGAAAAATCACGATGTAACGGTTATTTTAACTCCGATTTTGATGATTTTTTATATGTACACTCCTTCACCCTATATGAATACGGTGAATGAATGCGATCTTCAATTTGAAATATTTACACTAGTGGATATCCCAAAATCTTGTGTTATACTTAATGAAAGTATGAATAAACTGTTTAAGTGTTAGTGAATGTATCGTTTTAATACAACAAATTATTTGCATAAGAAAAATTCATTTTAAACGAATAATGATAAGTTAAGATAGAATATTTGTGGTGAATTTAGAATATTTATCATAATATTTTATGAACTAGTTGGTCAATTATTTACAATAAAAATCAAAATTTTAAGGATATTATAAACCGAACAATGTTTGATCAAAAGTTTCAAAATTATAGATGTTTGATTAAAACAATTCAAATATAAGCCATCAATATCAAAATGTTCCTAAAATTATATTTGTGTTTTTATTAAGCATTATGTATAAGTTAAATTTTATATATTAAAATATTATAAGAAATAACCTTTTTTTATTTTAACTATTTTTTTTCTCCTGCGTTTCCATTTTTTCTTTTTTAGTTAAACTCTTTTTTTATTTTTTTGTTGGGCGGGAATTTTCCCCGTTTTTTTGCACGGGGAAATGGATCGGAAGAATTAGGGTGGAATTGGACGTGCGAAAGAAACGAAGCATCGAAATAATAAATAGTTGCATCGAAATAATAAGTAGTGGCGTCGGTTTTAATCGACGTAAATACTTATTATTTCGACACAACCACTTATTATTTCGACGCCTCGTATTATACGTCGGTTTAAACCGACGCAACCAGTTATTGTTTCGACGCAGGCATTTATTTCTATGCCTCGGTTCTTTCGCACGTCCAATTCCGAGGACACTGCAATTAATGTCTGTCAGAATAACGTCGGTTAAAACCGACGTCATTGTCCTCTATTTCGACGCTAGTTAGAAATGTCAGACTATAACGTCGGTTTTAAGCGACGCAATATGCCCATATTTCGACGCCTCGGTCACATTCGCACGTCCAATTCCGAGGCCACTGCAATTACTGTCTGTCAGAATAACGTCAGTTCAAATCGACGCAATTAGCCTATATTTCGACGCTATTTAAATCTGTCAGACCTAACGTCGTTTTGAAGCGAGGCAATGTTACCTTATTTCGACGCTAGTCAAAAATGTTGCAGAGGTGGTGTCGCTTTGAAGCGACGTAATAGTTGCATATTTCGACGCTAATTTTTTTGGCATATTTAAGGTTCTACGACCTATTTCCGTCTCTCTCATTTCACTCCCCATTTCACTCCCTTCACTCCCCATTTCACTCCCTTCACTCCCTTCACTCCTATTTCCGCACTTCTTCCTTTGGTTTCGCTATGGATAGTAGTTGTGATTCTCAACGTGATGAGGAACTTCATGTGGAAGAGGAGGAGGTCGAAGCTGGTTATTTTTCTACATTATTATTGGATTCGTTTTTTTTTTTTTTTGTTTAATCTTCTATTATCCTTATAAACTAAAAGTTTACATCTGTTTCCAACTTTTTTGGTTTGTTTTAACTGTGGTTTTGTTATGAACAAGGAACTTCTCAACGGAGGCGAGGACCCTCAGTTCCCAAATGGACGAAACAGCTTTGTTCGTTTGATATGTCTGGAAAATGCGTTAGTGATAACTCTAGTGCATTTTCAAAATATGTGGCATCGGAGGTTAGAGACCACAGAATTCTCCCATTGGCGAAGCATTGGCGTAAGATTAAGGATGTAGATAAGGAAGCTTTTTGGAATAGAATTAAGGTATAGGTATTTATATTTTTATTAGAAAATAAAAGAATAATTCAATGATTGTTATAATATTTGACTTGGTTGATTTATTTATTTTTTATTTTTTATTTTATGGATGTAGGGAAATATTGTTTTTGAAGATGCTGATATACCAAGATTGCCTTTGATCCGCTTTATGACGCTTAAGGTTGCTGAGCATGCACATAAGGAGTACAGAAATAAGTTAAAAAAAAAATATTATACCAACAGAGCTGCAGAGGAGCATCCCCAGCCTCCTCCTGATGTGAATCCTACCCAGTGGGGTAATTTGTTGGCATACTGGAGTGGAGATAAAACAAAGGTAAACGATGTAGTTTATTTCGTTATAACTATAAATTTGTGTAATAATTTTTTTATTTTTATTTTCAGGAGGTTGCTGAAAAAAACAAGATTAATCGGCAAAAGAAAACAATGAACCATACTACTGGTACAAAATCTTTTGCAAGAAAGCGGCAAGAATATGTATGGATTGTACAATTTGAAGAAATGTTATTTTATATATTCTATAGTTATAAATTTTAATTTTAACGAGGTTAGCCTAAAATTGTTTGTGTGAAATTTTATTTTTGGTAAAGCGGAAGAAGCATGGGAAAGAAGCTGATCCTGTAACCTTTTTTCGTGAATGTCATACACGAAAAAATGAAGCTTGGATTGATGAAGAATCGGAGCGTACAGGGGTAATTTATTTTACTGTGTTGGTATTTCATTATTATTCAAATTTATTATCTATAGCTTATTGTTCTGTTTTACGATTGAATTTTTCTTTTTAAAAATTGTAATGCTAGGCAACAATGGAGAGCAATCTGCAAACTTTGATTCAGTCGGGGCAAGAGGATAATGAAGATCTTAGGACCCAAGTGTATGTTGACACAATGGGTCCTGAGAGGTATAATAGAGTCAGAGGATACGGTCATGAGGTGACTCCTGATATGGTGTCCTATGCATCTTCTTCGTCTTCTACATCAATTTCCTCCAAGAGGTCATCTAACAGTGCAATGGCATTGCTGATGACTCAAAATAATGAGTTGAAATTGAGGGACGAAAATAACAATAAACGGATTTCGGACCTAGAGAACAAGCAAGGTCAGTTGTTTGCGTGGCTTTTCCAAAGATTTCAGCCACAAGCACAACCACAACCACCGTTTAGCCCGGGAACCCAACAGTCAGGCCAGAGTCAGCCTCCTCCTCCTCAACAGTCGGGTCAAAGTCAGCCGCCCCTTGCATATCCTTATGCTGGCTATAATCAGCAACCTCCGTATCCTATGTATCCGCTGCCTATGCAGCCCACGCCATACATGCAGCAGCCGCCTATGCCATACATGCAGCAGCCTCCCATGCCTTACATGCAGGAGCCGCCTTATCAAGTGCCAGTATATCGACCCGAGATGGCTGCGCCTTGTCCTGAATTTCCAGCTGGGGGGTTTGCTGAAATGCTTGCGGGTGTTGGATCTGATGTGGACTTGTCGAGGATGTTGGCATCAAATATAGGACCTCAAGGGCGAGAAGGATCTGTGCCACGTTCAGGCGCAGATTCGGTTCCGTAGTTTATTTGGTTCGCTTTCTTGTCGGTTAAATATGACACTTTAATCGTTCTATCTTTTTTGTTTTTTATGTTATGTTTGTAATGTCGGATTTAGTAGTTGTTATGACGGATGGGTTTTTGTATATTTTGACATTATTTTTATTGTTAATTATTTTCATTAATGTATGGACAATATTGTGTATGTTGGCACTATTTTTTTTAATTATTTTTATTAATGTTTTTTTTTTACCTTGAAATTAATTAATATAATTATATAAAAATTTTCTGTTACAATGAATCGAAGAAGAATGCGATTTGTGTGTTTTTTTTATTATTATTAACAAAGGTGGTGTCGGTTAAGACCGTTATTCGGTTGCATATTTTATTTATTTAATTGTTATTTGACGTCGGTTTATGGGATATTAAATTGATTTAATATTATTTCAGTGTCATTTAAAAGCGACAGTAGGAATTATATTTTACAATTAAATTGCTATTGAACGTTGCCTTAAAGCGACGTAACGTGTAAGTATGCGTCGCTTTAAACCGACGTTAGTTTAGTGTCGCTTTAAAGCGACGCTATGTAGTGTCGGTTTAAGCCACCAAACCGACGCTAAAGCCCTTTCGTGACGCTAGCAATAGTGTCGCTTTGAAAATGCGACATTACATTGTTTTATGTCGCATTTTTGCCAAAATTGCGACAGAAATCTGATTTCTTGTCGGTTTTGACTCCGACGGTGATAGCATAAATTGTAGTAGTGTTAATTGGGTTTTTATTGTAAATGATCTTTGAAATTGAGCTACTGACACACTCCGATCTAGATCAAGGCATGTTGGCCGTCACGTGAGAGTGACGTAGTCATGTGCACAGTGCGGAAGCAATATCAATATAAGAAATGTGAATAAACAAAAACCAAACCAACTAGAGCACTAAATAAGATAAGGTGCAAGACGAGAATGAGTGTGATTACACATAACCAGAGCATAGGTAACCTAAGTGCAATTCAGCATGACGAATACTAAATATACAACACCCAAAGGTGATCCTACATTTGTGATGATCTATCAGAACCACTGTCAGATCCTCGTGAGCCACCAACAAAAACTCCTACCTAAAACCTGGAGGTGTGCAAAATAGAAAATGTGAGTGGGCAAAAACAAAGCTTTTCAAAACCATTTCAATTATCAAAGGTAGTAACCCCTC